GCCACGGTGGTCTAGCGGTTAGGACGCTGGCCTTGTAATCCTGGGGTCTCGGGTTCGGTTCCCGGCGGTGCCCGGATTTATAACTTGTGTTGGGCAAGGCCGTGGTCTAGGCAATACGGAGTTTTCCTCCGTGGCATCCCCACAATTACTCCATTCACACACAGAAGAAGGAAATGGCAAACACCTTCTGGATCATCTGCCAAGAACGTATATGAACAGGTCCCAGTCCGAGAAAAGGATGGAAGGATCCTGTTCATATGGACCTGTCGTCAGACAGAACACTAAATAATAATAAAAAATAAAAGTGAGATCCATAACAAACCTTTTTGATCCCTCGCGGATATATTACCTAGGTTTTTGTAGTAAACTCGTTGGTTCAAGACTTTCCCTCATCTGCTATTGTCCAAATTTTAATGCCATACTTTGCTGGTTTCGACTTCATGACACTGGTTCTTCGTCATTTCTTATAAGAGTTTCTGGACTTGCTGCTGTGGCGAAAAACAAAAGCTAGGGACAGGGACAGTGTTAGTTTGACTATTCGCCGCCTCAGTATTCCTGCGTCAACAGCGCCACATCATTCTGGAAATCAGAGGCGATTCATATGCAAGCAGCGAGGGTAGAAACAAGAGTGAAATAAGTCTAGAAAAAACGAGAAAGAGAGAAAAAGGTAGAAAAAATATAAAAGGAAGAAGATGCAAGAGGATTAAAAGAATGCGAGAGAGAGGGAAGGACACAGGGAATGAAAGAGAAGAAGGAGGAGAAAGAATGTTAAAAGAAAAAGCGAGAAAAGACGCAGGTCTATGTTTCTTTGTGTCTGAGAATCGGTGATTAAGAGAAAAAACAGCGTGGGATCTGGCGTGAGCGAAGAATACCTTATGGGTCCGTACGTGTCTGTCTGTCTGTCGCCTTTTAAGTGATAACGGTCCAACGTTGGAACTCATTGTTGCACGACAATAATCTGTATTCAGACTACTCCAACAATGATGTTTACCTTTGATACGATTATTATTATTTAGTGTTCTGTCTGACGACAGGTCCATATGAACAGGATCCTTCCATCCTTTTCTCGGACTGGGACCTGTTCATATACGTTCTTGGCAGATGATCCAGAAGTGGTTTGCCATTGCCTTCTTCTGTGTGTGAATGGAGTAATTGTTGGGATGCCACGGAGAAACCGGGGAAGAAGCCCCCGGAGGAAAACTCCGTGTTGCCTAGACCACGGCCTTGCCCAACACAAGTTATAAATTCGGGCACAGCCGGGAATCGAACCCGAGATCCCAGGATTACAAGGCCAGCGTTCTAACCGCTAGACCACCGTGGTATTTGATACGATTATAGCATTTTTTATTTCTTTGATTTGTCCTGTTGACGTCGACTTTAATGCTGAATGTATAATAACTTA